AATCTTCATGACACCTCAGACTCACTAAGAAATGCAGATTGGTGTCGGGTGACTAGAGAGAAATTGCTTGTTCTTTTTAGTGGTTTCTCCAGTGAAAAGCAACTCCTACAGATGTGATTTTGTTTCCTTCCCTTTTCTGCTAAAATCGTTTGGAAGCTGAACTGAGAAGTAAAATCACATTTACTTCTCTCAGAGTCGTAACATTACAACTTGTGTGAAGTGTTGATTTTACTCTTTGAACACAGGACGTTCCCCAGTGCTTTGAGTTTGCTAAGTATTTCCAGGCATATAGTAGAGAGTAATGACCCTAAAGCATGGCAGGGCTGGAGACTTCAGAGCATCTGCTTGTTACTTTTCAGGGTGACTTTTGTGAACTGGAAGAGTTAGAAAATCGAATGAGGAGCCCCCTTCTTGGTGTCTCTTAACCACGTGAGACCAGCCTAATTCATGAGGCCTTGGGGGTCAGTGGGAGAAAGCTGAGGTGTCCTGAGGCATTAATGTCTTGATAGAACCACTGGAAAGCACTGGCTTCTACTTTGCCATGATTCAAGCAGAGTTTTACCTTGAGAGAAGCTACTGTTAAGAATTGATCTGAATTGTTTTGTTGATAGCATTTTACCCATTAGTTAATAGATTGCTTCAGAACTTTAAATAAAGAGGGCTCTTAAAGTATTGCTATATATCAACAGTTACATATAACATGTCAACCAAATGAGTTGGGAAATGCTGGGCTGATTTTTGGGGATACGCCTTGGTTCAAATCCGTAGCTGTCCTTGACCTGGCTGGGTTGGACCCTAAAGAGGAGCTGCGGCATAGAAGTTTTATATGTGGAAATACACTTGCAAGGAACATTTCTTGAGAACTGATGCTTTTTTAAGTTTTGCAGATTATTTTAAAAAATACTGTCTTCAGTTAAACTACAGACTTGATTTTAATCAGGCACTAAAAAAAAGTAGGTTGTTTTGGCAATAAGAGTTTTAGGGAAAACAATCTCTGGGCAGAATTGCTTTATCCACTTTCACTCAGTACTTTGGGGGAAAAAAGACTGTGCAGTGTAAAGAATGGAAAAGCAGTCTCATGAGTGTTACCTGCCAGCATTGGACATATTTTCATACACACACTCCCAAACCGCTTCGTGCAACTGAGCTAAACAGTGGTGCTCTCACAGAAGCCTTACTGCTGTACTGGGAGATGCTATTGTTTATTATTTTTATTATTAATTTACAGTAAAATTTTATATTCTGTAATAAGATTGTACAGGAATTAATGGATACAGTCCCACTTTTTCAATGTTGCTGCATGTAGTAATATGCATTCATATTGGTTTGGAACAATGCATTTTCCAAAATCCATGTCATCAAAGAAATAAAAATGTTTTTTAAAATTCTAGATTTTAGATGATATATATTTAAATCATCATTTTTACTGCTTAAATAGAACAGGAAAATTTCATTAGACTCCATGCAAAGTATTCTATATTTTATTAAATGGTGCATACTCATAAAATTCTTTCTATCTTTAAAGTGTGTGGCACAGTAGGTTAAAAGCCTTATGTGCTTAGTGGCATCCAGGCAGATTTGGGCCATCATTCAGGGCATCCTTGGGCGATGGTTCTCCCACTGCCATCCTTTGGGCGGATACCAGAGCCCTGCAGCCTGTTCCTGGTTCAGTTCAGGACGGCTCCCACACTGAGGCCGTAAGCTTTGGGACTGCTGTCCAGTTGGGCAGAGGCTGAGACAGTGCAACAGTGCCTTTTTAATCATTAACATGCATGGTAACATGCACTTTGAACTAAGCATGTAAAGGCTTTAAGCTATTTTGCTCGGCATCACCACAACAGCCCTCTTTGGAAGAAAAAGAATCGTGTTCCCCATAATAGCAGAGATTACATGGGATCTCAATTAAACCGATCGTATGTGTCAGGAGAATTACAGGTGGTGAGCATTCTTGAAATGAGCCATCCTTTCCTTCCTTGCTGCAAGAAGCATAGATTCGTTGTATTTATTTCTTATGGGAGATAGCAGAAAGCCCCGAACACGTGGTTGGGTTGGAAATCTGGGATTCCATATATATAGCTGTGTTGGATTCGTTCTCTCATCACCCCACAATAATCACTCACTTTCCAAGTGGGAAAGGTGGTTGCCTTCAGGAGGGAGGGACGCTTGGGCTGAAGAGAGCAAGAGTTCCTGGGAGCTTATGAGAATTTGGCGGAAAATCCAGGAAGTGGAACTTTCTCATTGGTTGAACAATTGAATGTTTATGAAACAAAATAACTCAAGCTGTGGGAGGAGGACCTTGGTGGTACTTGAGCTGCTCAGGAAGCAATGTGAATAGCAGCCATGAGGCCACCCAGAAGAGCCATCCTTAACATACACCTTCTTGACTGTCTCTCATTCTGGCGGCTACCAGTAGGAGTAGGCTATCCTCTGCCAGATGACGCATGTCCCCTCCTCCTTGAAGGTCCTCTTCCAGGGGCTATTAGTTTGGTTCTCCAAGTATGTTTCATATAGGATGTATTTTCCCATTGTTTCGAGCAGAAAACGGGCCATAAATGTATATTTCATGCTGTCAAAAGTTACTGGTGTGAGTACAATTTTGAAAAAGCAGCTTGATCAATTGACTTCTATAGGAAGAGAACTTGCATAGCTGTGCGGGAGACTATTGTCTGACATTTTTATGCAGACAAATTGCCATCCAAAACTGCCTCTTGTATTATTTGGAGTCTTCCATATCTCAAAATATATTCTGAGCGCTTGTTGTTTGCTGGGCATTTTGGTGCTGTTTCTACTTTTTTTTTCTTGTATTAGTAAGCCTCTGGCAACTTATAAGTTTATTGTAAATTCAGAGTCACCTTACAGGGGAGATGGGCAGCATAAAAATTTAATAAATTAAATAATAGTACAATAGTCTGATTATAAAATAATAAAAACCATTAGATGTAAGAAAGTTAAAACTAGATCAAGTCAGAGCTACAACTAAGAATTCAAGGGTCTCTGTTAAGTTTAGATGACGCAGAGCAAAAGTGGCCTCCTGACTGCTAAGAGTTGGAAGCTCAGGGAGAAGGCCCGGTTGCCTGAGGTCCCCCCTCGGCTTCCCCTTAGCAGCTCAAGCGGAGACCTCTCCACATCTGCGATGAAGTTGGTGGGGCCCGGGAGGAACCATCCCTGCCCACTGAGTTCCAGCAGCTCTTTGTCTCTTCTCACCTCCAAATTGCTCCAGATATGAAAAGAAAGGTGTTTTTTTAAATTGCTGAACAAAGGATTAACACACACACACACACACAAATGCATGTAGAAACACAATACATTCACCAAGGGCACGATTGCCCTGGTATTTGCCTATCTATAATGGACACCCATGGAATTTTTTGCAGGCCTCCTTGAAAGACTGGCTAAACTAAGCAGGTGGTTACGTTTCTCAGTGGTGAGTCAAGAGGAGAACGAAGATGCAGAAGAGCCATGTCTGAACACAAGGAAAGTTGCTTTGCACTGGACTTGGGTTTCTGCTCAGCCGGGGTCTGAAATGTGCTGGCAAATATCTCTCCATGCTGAAACTCCAAAATACCCTCTTGGTTGAATTGTGACTTCACTAAGCGGGAAAGTGGCTATTTACAGACTGCTTAATCTTACCATCTCAGTCAGCCTTTTCTTCTGCTTTTACATTTTTGTTTGTAACAACAAAATAAAATCTGTGATCAACCAGGGAGGGGGGGGGAACTGACAATCATCTGCAGGTGATCAAATGACTTAAGAGAGACGGTTTTAATTTGTGTGTGGTTCTCACTGTAACAAAGGAAACTTGCTTTTTGTTTTAGAATTGGCAGACTGTTTCCCAACATCTGGACTGAATGAAGTCTGAGACCACATCACTTGTGTTTTGCTGCAAAAATTCTTTGATCTTCAAAATCCAGACTGAAAAAAGTGCAGCTTGAAATTGCTGCTTGAGGGGGAGGGTTGTAGACTTTGCTTAAAAACATGGTGCAACTATCAACTCCACCAGAGTCTATTCTGCTGCTCTTTTCTATCCTTTTCTGTAAAAACAGCTGTCAGGATTTTGTTGCACAGAGTTTTCCCCTCTTGCTTGTTCAGAATATAGCAGAAGAATCTCAGGGCTATCTCTAAGAACAGTGGCGCTCTCTCTCTCACACACATACACTCTCACTCACACATGTAGCCCTCAGATACAACAGCATTGAAAAAAAGTGACTTATTACCATTTTTCATGTTTATAACCATTGGCACATCCCCATGGTCACGTGATCAAAATTTGGACACTAGGCAACTGGCTCGAATTTATGATTGTAGCAATGTACTGTGGTCCCCTTTTGTGATCTGACAAATAAAGTCAATGGGGAAGCCAGAGTCACTTAACCATGTTACTAATTTAACACCTGCAGCGAGTCACTTAACTGTGACAGGAAAGTAAAATGGCAAAAATAACTTCAATGTCTTGCTTGACAACAGAAGCTTTGGGCTCAATTGTGATTGTAAGTTGAGGGCTACCTGAACCAACGTATTTCTACCCTAACGGATGTGTTGGTCCCTATTGAAAGTCTTTATTATTGGCTCTTTGCCAAGATCATCTGTCTGTCTTCCTGTTATTGTAAATTTCAGTAATTGTTTTAAACCAGGGGTGTCAAACTGCCAGCTCACGGGCCGAATGCGTCACACCAAAACGGCGCCCATCCCATTGCTGGCAATGGGGAAAAAGTCGTGATATATCGCAACACGTCATGTGATGTCACAAGTTTGACACCCGTGTTTTAAACACTGAAGGGTCTTGTCCTTGCTGAGCAGAGTCAGCCCTTTAGCTTTTGTCTTGCCTGCTGGAATTGGCATCCCAAAAGAGAGGAAGAAGCCTCCCCAAAGCATCTGTAGTTTGAGACTTGTGACTTCATATTCAGCTGTGCTTCTCTCCTTTTAAGCTCTACTTGATTATGACTGGATCCTTTCAGCCATTGTATATTTGTCCTTTTCTCCCTTTCATTTCATGGATTTAGGTCTATGCACCTTCTTCTAATTCAGATGACTTCAATAGAGAATCTCCAAGTTATCCATCTCCTAAACCGCCAAGCAGTATGTTTGCTAGCACTTTCTTGTTACAAGGTAAGAAAGTTTTTTGATGATATTTTCAAATTAGATATGAGAGAAAAGGAATAAATAGCATAAGTAACCAAATAAATGAGAGTATAATTTATTTTGTTCATGCTGTCAAGAGTATCATGAGATTCATAGGATGTGAATTGGTAATAGCAGTTTAAAGGCATATCTTAAAGTAGATCTGATTAGCATTTCTTTCTTGTGGTTTGGGTACTTAAAACAGAAGTCGGGCTTTCATTGATGACCTCGCTCCTCTGTCCCTTATGGAATAACTGCAGCACCAGCATCATTCTGCCCAGGGGCTAAAGGAGCTCATCTTGGCAGTCTTGACTTTTCTGGATTCTTAGATGTTTAGCCTGCATCTTAGCCACAATGTTCCCAAGGAGGTGAGCATAAAACACAGACCATTGTTAGGTAAAACAAAATTAAAAGAGTACTGGCAAGCTACAATTGCAGCTGTTGTATCAATGAGGTTTACAGTGGTTACTTCTTTCTATCTAAATCAAGTAGATTTCTTGTGCCAGTTACATATCCTCTAGAAAAAGTATCTAATGGCAGTTGCTTCTTTTACTGCAATAAATTGTCACTACATCTTAAAGCAGGGAGGTTGTATAATTAATGCAGAATCTCTTGTCAATCCAGATCAAGCTAAAAAGGCCAATCCAAGACTGAAAATGTGTTTGCCGGGACACATATCAGTGTCAGATCCTTCACTTATTTTTTCAGTTTCTCCTTCAAGAAACTAGGTTCTCACAGTTACACAATATGCTGTTCTTCTGCACAGTTTTTGTGTGCTTGGAATTGAGTTATCCTTGGCTAGTGGATAGGCCTCAGATAATTCACTGACAATACCTGGAGTGTTCTTTTGATTTCTGTTTGACTTTCTCTGGGAAAAACTGTTTTGCTATACAAGACTCAGAAACCAAGAAAGTGAAATTATAAAACAAGTTAGACTTAAAATGGTTAGACAGTAATATATCAAAGTTCCTTTCCTTTTTCAAGGGTTGAAGCCAGTACGGTGGCTGCAGACACCTTGTACACTTGGAGCAGGTGCTTCCCAGGTTCAAGGCTGGGGAAAAAGAGCCCCAAGTTCACTGAGTTGAATAGGTGGGAGGAAAGGGTTAAGAATCACATGCCGGGGCAGCTGATCTGAGGGGCCGGGCTTCTGGGTTTTACAGCAGGCAGCTCTTCCGCATGTTCATCCTTTCTGACCCCCATTAGCAAGCCTGTGGAGGTCCTGCTCTTTGCCTGTTCCTAAATGCAGGGGTGAGTTTCTGAAGAGTAGAAATTGATAGCTGTGCCTGACCAGAAGCCTCAGGTCTCCTGTCTTCTATTTTCATCCAACAATAAAGATGGGACCCACATTGCTTCTGAACTTTGGAGCCCCTCCAATGGAGTGAGCCAGTCGGGTTATGGTGGAATGCTGGAAAGTCCTTCTCACCTGTTGCCCTCCAATAGTTACGGCAGCCGACATCCCCACGAGCGTCTGGTAAGGTAGTGGTGGTGCTGGTGGTGGTGAGGACAGCAATGCCCTGTGTCCCTGTGGAATCAGCTAAAGTGGAGGCCATGGGAAAATCAGTAAGCGTTTCCAGTAGCCTCCTTGATGTTTTGGGAAGTCTGTGTATATAACACATTCTTTCCTTTGTCTTCTTAAATTTGTACCCATTATGGTGGATACAGAGAGGCTGACAAATTCCTCTTGATCACAGCAAACTCACCACTCTTGATGTGGTTCACGGTTCTCAGGAAGTTCATCTTCCAAACCAGAAGAGTTTCTGGTCTTCAGGCATGGCATGGCATGAGCCGGCTGTGCAGAAATTCAGATTTGTATGGAGAGAGTTGCTTCAGAGCTTGCTTGTTCTCTAGATATAGTGTCTGTTGATACCTCAATTTAATAAGGTACGAATATAAAAAGTGAAGACTTGTTAGAATGTATTTTATATATGGTGTTTGATACTATTTATATTTTCCATGCCAGTCAAGTTTACCAGCAACAACAATCAGAAGGAGCTTTCTAAAATTGTGAATCAGCAGCACAATCAATTTCTGCAAAAACACAATGTGATGGCCACTAGAATGAAAAAAAATCTAAGAGTTGCATATTTGTCCTACAGTTGCATAATTCAAATAGGTTTTAAAAAGAAACTTCTTTTTATCACATTAAATATTATTCCATGTTTACAGTGCAACGCACTATCAAGGATTGAAAATAAAACTATATAATCTGACTCATTATATTTGCAGTATGCTTACATCAAATAATTAATAAAGCACAATTATTGTACTACACAAGATTGTTGCAGTTCATCTGTGGGAGGCTTTTGTAAAGACTTGATTCTGAGAAGGGTCACTTTGGGCCTAATGGGAACCTTGGCTTCATATTTCACAAATGAGATTGGATGAGCATTGAGCTCCTTCTGCATGCCTTTCGTCCATCCGGTTGCCCATTCCATTTGAGCCGCTACACTAAGAATTGTAAAAATAACCTTTAGAATTTGTTATCAGAATTCAGGTTTTAGTTTCCTGAAGTGTTATGAATTTTAGTTATTACCAATACCTTTAGCAGCATCTGCAGAATGACGGGACCCGAGTTTTTATTTCCAGATGATGGAGAAGGAGAGTTTCCCATCATCTCCAAACTGCCCCACCTCCTTCATTTAGTTGGCATTGACTTTAATGCCTAAAAATAAAATCTCACATTCAGAGATGATTATGGATTATTGAGGCAAGGTATCTTTCTGTTCTTTGCTTGCTTCATGAACTCTGGTTTAGCCCGGATGACATTGTGCTCTTTTTAACTAAGAGTTTAGGGCTACTTTGAATTTTGCTAATATCAAATTGCCACTCTTGTTCCCTTCTTGCACTGTGATTCCACTTCTCCTTTTTCCTAGAACTGTCCTCATTCAGACTCACCAACAGAAGGAAGCACCAGCCTTCCGCCAATGTCCAGCTTCCACCGGGGCAGTAGCAATAATTCATTATATGCTGCCACCGCCGCCGCCACCTCTCATACTCCACCAGTCAACGGCTCGGATACCAGTGTGCTTGGTAAGATGTCTGTGTCCTAAAATCATCCATAAAAATTACAGCTAATTTAGTCACAGTTAAGTTGCAATAGTATAATTATCTGCTAAAACTGTAAAAAAGGATTTGTCATGTGGCAAGACTTATAATGTTGGTGTTTTTAGAGTTGGAATATTTTCACTTCTCTCTTAATTTGATCTCCACTCTGAGAGCACAGTCTAGAACACATTTTTCATACTTGTGGGTCACAAAGCTGGTGTGATGGATCTTAGATGGCATTCTATGTTGATCTGGACATTATTTCTGCACTGCTCCAAAATAAATACATGACAATTTTTTAAAAAAGTGATTGAACCAGGAATAATTTGTCTTTGATCATAGTTGAAATATGGTTATAACTTCTATTCAGGAAGAACATATATTTACTTAACAAGCAAGCATCAATTTTCCCCCAAATCCCAGATTTATAGATCTAATTGAAGTGACATTTCAGCTTATTCATGCATTTGGTGTGTTTTGTGCATTCTGAAGTCCTTTTCATGATCTCTTACAAAGATACACATTTTTTAAAAAAGACACTGAGGGTTCATCACTGATTAACTCTTGTTGTCTTAAGCAGTGTGCTTTGGGTTGTTTAACTTAACTGTTCCAAACCGCTAAATTATTTGTGCAAATGTGATCCTGAAATGCTGTACAATGTTTATCCAGCATGATGGGACCAATGTGGTAATCCTGGACTAAATAGTTGGTTAGGCAGATGAGTTTTCCTAGCTTGAACAGTACTGATCAGATCGCCCCAGCAGCATCATTTTCCTTCTGATTGGTACTGATAGGCTGGCAGGCAGCTAAACTGGGTCTGTAGACAGAGAAGAACAAGTTCATGTACACAAGGAAGCATGCAAGTGGCTTGCCTTCTCAGAAAAATATCAGCAATAAAGATGGAACATATCTCTTGTCATTGGATCATTATGTCCAAGTGGTTAAAGAGACGATTTGGAAGAAAAAGATGTTTTGCCTGAAGACCTTTGAAAATAGAAACATATTTGATGTCAGAATCCAGTTATATTTCCTTTCTATCTATCTTCTCTGATCTAAAACCAATTCTTACCCCTCCCTGGATCCTGCCATACTCCCAAGGGGGAGGGGTGGATATGCATGCGGGTTTATTACTCTCACTTCCTCTATTCACCTTTTGTTTATTTGCCTTTGTGTCTGTAACCATTACAGTGTAACAATTTGCCTCTTATCCTATGCCCCTCTGAACTTCTCCTCCTTACTGGGCAGCTAGGAAAAGGGGGGTGAAAAGATACAGACCCCCTGGTGCTTCCGGTTCCGGTTTGCAGCGCTGGCAGATGTGCGGTGAGATCGTTCTCCCCGCCGTCCGGTTTTCCTTCTTCGGGAGACCCTGGAAAGGGTCGAAAGTCACCCTGGATGGGCGACCACCATTGGGGAGGACTTTGCCAGATTGCGGAGGGGCGGTAGCCTCTCCGTTTGATCTGTGGCAACTCCTCAGGACCAAAGAAGGAAAGAGCGGCCATTAACATGGCCGCTCACTTAGCCGCACCAGCCAAAAGCCCAAAGCACTAATAAGCCTGATGAAGTAACTGGAGGAGTTGGGTGAGACCTTACCTTCCTTCTTTTTTTCCCAACTACTTTCCTGTAAAAATCCTTAAAATACCCTTTTCCCCCAGCTTAATTTCGCGGCTTCTGCTTACCCCGGGAACACAAAGACAAGAAACAAACAAACAAACAAAAAATAACAATAAGATCAAAAGACCACATACCTGGACTTGTAATACCTGGGCTCCCTAAAAGCTCTGTATTTCTATAAAAACTTATTGTTTTACTTTTTTGCTAAACTGTAAAAAAAGGGGGGGAATATTCTTTTGTTTTTCCTCTCTTGAACAGGATAAAAGCTCCATTCTGTATGTTACTGGGGACATCTTGTGGTGAAATTTGGTACAGCAAGTGGAAAAAATATATTTTTTTCTGACTGGGAGATTCCTGAGACTAAAACTTGACCTTGACAGCAACAAAAGATAACAACTTGAAACAGCTGGGTGGAGAAAATATCTCTTTACAGTGGAGATGGATAGTTATTGACTTTTATTAAAAACAGCCTCCACTAAAGGACTATTTGTAAACATTACAGAAATGGAGGAACACCATCCACAGCTTAACGTCAAACTTATATTTGAAAAAATCCTAGAGGCCACTGAGCTAGTGAATTCTAGAATGAAAGACTTACGTGCCACTTTAAAGCTTCAAAACGCAGCTTCAACCTCATTAGATGAATTTACATCCCAAAAAGCAATAGAAGAAGGAACTAATAACAAAGTGGATTTTAAAGAATGCCAGCTACAATCTACTCAGAACTCCGACACCCAAACTTTGACTTCACTTAAAGACTTTACAACTACAACAACAACAGAAACTCAACAAAGCAATGCTAAGATGGAACGTGCAGAGGACTTACATACACAATATACTGAGATTCTAGACAACCCAGATGATCCAAAACAACTATAGCACTGAACATGACCTTTCATCTAAGCCAGCCGAAACCAGAAGAAGAAGAAGAAGACCAGTCTGAACGTATGATAAATGCATTAACTCAAATATGGAGACCTAAACCATTTGGCCAACAATTCAATGATTGTGAAGGGACTGGCTTCCTTGATAGGCTGATGATTGGATGGTCTCCCCTGATTCAAATGATATATGCAGGAATGGAGAGCCACTTGAGGATCTAAAAGCTTTTTTATGGAAGCCAGCTTGGCACAAAAGGAAGGCCAGAGTTAGACTTAAAATGGTTTTCTTTATGTGATATTTAATGGAAGAGCTTTAAATTCTACGTAATGAGATAAGGAGACTTTAAAGATGTTATTTGATTTAATATTTAGGATTTATATTTATAAGGGAAATAAATTAGTTATTCAAATAATTGTTTTGAACTATAAATGGAAGATGGATTTAGAGAATAAAGGTTATTTTATGAGTAAGCGATGATATTAGAATGAGAATTAGAATATGACTGAAATAAACTAAGAATCTACTGGAATAAATAATAAGTGTATTTTAGACATGATATTATTTTGCATGAACCAAGGGAACCGTGGGTTATCCGAAACTTAAACATTATTGGACACTAAACCAACAGGAATATTGTAATTGAAACCAGACAAAAGTCAAAAACAGGATCTGGAGACATATAAGTTGTTTATAAATGTTTTAAATGATTGAGTTATAACTAGCAATTTATTAATTTGAATTTGGTACCGTATATTCCGGCGTATAAGACGACTGGGCATATAAGACGACCCCCAACTTTTCCAGTTAAAATATAGAGTTTGGGCTATACCCACCGTATAAGACTATCCCTGTTCCAACGCACACCAAATAAAAATTAAAAAACATCAGATTTGATTTCAATATGGTAATTTTAATTCAAATGCTTATGACATGCAGGTACTTAGCAGGAAAACTGTCACTTATAAACATAAGGCTGTTTGTCATCAAACATGTAAACATAAAACAGTGCAAGTGGATTAAACTTTTCCTNCAGGGTCATGTAATTTACATTTGGATGCTTGGCAACTGATTCTTATTTATGATGGTCACATTGTTCCAGGGTCATGTGATCACCTTTTGCAACCTTGTGACAAGCAAAGTTAGTGGGGAAACCAGATTCACTGAACAGCCATGTTACTAATTTAATCTCTCTCCTTCTTTCTTTCTCTCTCTCCCTCTCTTTCTTTCTCCCTTTCTCTTTCCCTCTCTCTTTTTCTTTCTCCCTTTCTCTCCCTGTCTCCCTTTCTTTTTCTCTCTCCCTGTCTCCCTTTCTCTCTCCCTCTCCCTCCTTCTTTCTCTCTCTCTCTCTCTCTCCCTGTCTCCCTCTTTCTCTCTCCCTTTCTCCCTCTCCTCTTTCTCTCCCTCTCTCTATTTCTCTTTCCCTCTTTCTCTCCCTCTCAAAGATCCTTAAAATCCTTAACGGTTATGCTTGGGTGGAAGACTTTTTCTTTTACAGATGGGGCGGGTAGGCCTGACATTCGCGCGCAGGCAGGACCCCGCCCGTCGAGCCACCGCTTCCCCATTGTCCTCCACGCCAGCCAATGTTGCCTGAGGTAGGCGCCGCCGCGACCTCCCAGCCGCTTGCTTCTTCGGCTGGAGCAGTTGCAGCCGAAGAAGCAAGAGGCCTACCTCCTGCGCCCGTCAGCTGGCGACCCCCGGACCTGCGCCCGTCGGCCGGAACGTCAGGCAACGCTTTGGCCGGTGCGGAGGGCGAAGCGGAGGCCGCTCAGCGCCGAACTCCTGCGCCCGTCAGCTGGCGACCCCCGGACCTGCACCCGTCAGCTGGGAGGTCTGGAGACGGAGCAGGCTGGCGTGGAGGGCGATGGGGAAGCGGTGGCTCGGCGGGCGGGGTCCTGCCTGCGCGTGAATGTCAGGCCCACCCGCCCCATCTGTAAAAGAAAAAGTCTTCCACCCAAGCATAACGCCAGCAGTTCTGTGCTACAGAGGCTTGAGACACGGAGGCGCGGGACGCGGAGCGGCGTGGTGCGGTGGGAGGCGGCAGGATGGGAGGAGGGGTTACCTGCATCCTGCCAGCCGAACTCTGGAAGCCTGCCTGAATACCCGTATTTTCCGGCGTATAAGACGACTGGGCGTATAAGACGACCCCCGACTTTTGAGAAGATTTTCAGGGTTTAGAAAATCGTCTTATACGCCGGAAAATACGGTATAATAATTAAGGGAGAGAGAAAATTTTTGATGTAAACTGACATATATATGGATAAGCATGTTATTGGACTATGTATTACCCAGCCACCATGTTGGTTCCTTAAATATCTGAAGTCTTGTAAAAATGGAAAATTAATAAAACTTGTTTAAAAAAAAAAAAGGTACAGACCTCCGGGATCTGGTTTATTTCCCCGTCATCAAAATGAGGTGTGAGGAGCTGTTGAATGATCGTGCACAACGGAGCCGGATTGATGTTATCTTTCCTGGATTTAACACCTAGATAGTTG